TGATCCTCATCTCCAAAGGCCTGCCCCCTCGCTCACTGCTCGCTGACAAGGAGCTGAGCACACACAACTCTCCCCCTGCCACACTGGTGACACACCAGTGATGTGGGGTGACCTTGGGAGCCAGGGCCAATCCTGTGTGTCAAGGGATTTCTCTCCAGGGCCCACAGCAGGGCCTCTACTGGACAGAGACTAGAATCCAAGGGGCTTTTCTGCACGTCCAGAGAACACTGTGTGTGTGGAGCCAGCCAAAACCCACCAAGGAGTTAATGTCCCCTGTGAGCCATGTGGCCAAAGCCTGTGACTGGTGGCCTCTGCTTTACTTAAGTCCAGCTTGGTTATTCATTTGGATGATGGCAGCTGTTGGCCCTGAGACCACTAGCCCATCCACTCAGGTCCCAGCCAAGAGAAAGTCATGCTCCTGTCTGCTGTATCAGACAGGGTCCCAGCAGGAAACAGAAGTTACCTGGGGCGGGGGGGGGTCAAACACAGGGTCTCTATGAAGGAAGTACTACAGAGCTGTGAGCATGTTAAGGGAACAAACCGGCTGTTGAGGCATACAGAAACCAGCAAGACTGGGAAGCTGTAAGCACCCCAGGGCTGAAGGCACAAAGAGGAGGCGTATTTCCAGAACCCAGTAAGAGACAGAACCGGGGGGTGCTGCCTAACAGGAGCTGCCAGCATGGACAGACGCAGCCACAGCAAGAGATGCAAACCAGAACAGAGAGCAACGGGGAAGAAATATCCCCCACTTCTCCCCTCCCAGCCTCAGAGCTCCTGCTGGAGCCCCTGGTAGCCAAACACTAGGAGTCAGGCCCAGGGTCAGACCCCCTGACACAGAGCAGAGCACAGGGACGGTGCAAGAGGCGGAGACCTGGCAGGGTGGGGACCCGCAAATCTCCAGCCTGACGACTGGGTGTCAAGGAATAAAATGGTAAATCGACTACTCAGTGAAGCAGAACCAGTGTCAGAGAGGATCTGTCCACGTTTGGTTTCATTGTTAGTTACTGTTTTTCACAAATACTTTTGGATTCAGGCCTGAAAACAATGCTGAGAGGTAGATGCTAGTGTTCCCATTGCACAGATGGTGAAACCAAGGCTCCAGGAGGTAAAGCGTCTTGTGCACAGTCATGCAGTGACAAAGCAGTGCAGCTGAGGTACAGGAAGACCACAGAGCCCGCGACCATCACCCCACGCCGCCTGAGCCCAAAGAGGAAAGATTTATGTGTGACTTGTGGCTGGCCTTGGGGAGTAGGGAAGACACAGATGGGGCATGATGTTCTCCAGGAAGGAGAGGGTGCTGTGATTTGAGCCTGCGGCAGGGCCTGGGCATCAACCCTGGGACCAGGCCCAAGCTTGTGCTGCAATGGGGGATGCCCTGGGAAAGGCCACGATGAGGGGCGAGCCCAGGGTTCCTTTTCATCCCTCACCCCACTATCCCCTGCCCCAGCAGGTCCTGGTCACTCCACCTCAGAAGCATATTCCAGGGCCCTCCCCTCCTAACCCCAATCTGGGTGACAGTGACCGCCACCCCCGGGTCTCCCCTCTCCCAGCCTATCTCCTCAGTGCAGCTGCGACCTCTGCAAATCAGACCACATCGCTCTCCCACCCTCTTAAGGAAGAGCTCTCTCCCCAGACTGCCCTACAAGGCCCCATGCAACCTGATGGTACCCATTTCCAATGGCTGAGCCAACAAACTACCCCAAACATGGTGACTCAAAACAATACAATTTATTTCCTTTTCATCTTACAGTTCTGGAGGGCTGAGGTCTGACAGGGGTTTCAGCGGGCTAAAAATCAGGGCTGCGTTCCTCTGGAGATCTAGGGGAGAATCTATTTCATAGCCTTTTCTGGCTTCAAGAGGCCGCCCACATTCCTTGGCCCGTGGCCGCACATCACACCAATTTCTGTCTCCACTGTCACATCTCCTTTTACCTAATTTTGACCCTCTTGCCTTCATCTTTTAAGGACACTGTAATTACATTATGCATAACATGGTGCACATAATCCAGGACCGCCTCCCTATATCAAGATCCTTAACTTCATCATATCTGCTCAAAGTCCTTTTGCCATAGAAAATAACACATACAGCTCTGGTAAGCGCTGTGAATTGTGCAAGACTGTTGAATCTCAGATCTGTACCTCTGAAACAAATAATGCAATATATGTTAAGAAAAAAAAGAAGAAGAAGAAGGTAGCGGGAGGGGAAGAATGAAGCAGGGGAAATCGGAGGGGTAGACGAACCATGAGAGACGATGGACTCTGAAAAACAAACAGGGTTCTAGAGGGGAAGGGGGGTGGGGGGATGGGTTAGCCTGGTGGTGGGTATTGAGGAGGGCACGTTCTGCATGGAGCACTGGGTGTTATGCACAAACAATGAATCATGGAACACTTCATCTAAAACTAATGATGTAATGTATGGGGATTAACATAAGAATAAAAAAAAAAATAACACATACATAGATTCCAGGGATTCAGACATGGACATCTTTGGGGGGACTGTCACTCAGCCTGCCACACTGACCTGGTCACCTCTTCCTGTCTCTCACCCCTCATTGCTCATTTCTACCTGACCTGGGGACTTATTTTGTTTCTTCAAGCACACCAACCAGTTTTCTACCTCAGGGCCTTTGCATGTGCTGATCCTTCTGCCTGGAATGCCCTTCCCCTGGTATTCCTAAGACTAACACTCAGATGCTGGCTGAAGTGTCATCTCTCTGAGAGGCCTCCCCTGATCTCAGAGTCTTAGTCAGCCACCCCCTCTCTCTGTTGCACCCCCCAATGTATCACTAGCTGGTGTTTTCCATATTTGCTTATTTTCCTGGTGTTCCCACTATAGTGTGCAGTCCCTGAGGACAGGCCCCATGTGCCCTGCTCACTGTTGTACCCCAGTGCCCATTACAGAACCCACATATAGTAGGCACTCAATACCCATTTGGCTCAGTGCATGGGTTCTCACTCCATCCTGTCTAAAGGCCTGAGGACTCTCTCTCCTTGTTTCTCAGTTTCACTTCTGTTTGTTCTACTTTTTCATTTTTGAGTCACTTCTCACTTGAGAGGAAGAAAGAACCAAAACTCAAAGTTCCTTTGTAGGCAAAAAAGGAAATGACCCGCCAGGCCTGGGCCCAGCAAAGTTGGGGCAGGGACATGCCGGCCACCTCCCCTGAGTCAGAACCAGCTTCCTGGCCAGCACGCCCAACCTTCCCAAGTCTTTGTTCACTGCCTTCCTCCCACCTAAAATGGCTACCCTCTCCATGTCCTACCTCAGTGGAGACCAAGCCTCCTCCAGTTCCACCACCTCACAAATGAGGAAACTGAGACCCAGAACCTCTCCCCAGGCACACAGCACATGCATTCTGGGGCATGTTCCAGCACTCTGTCCCACCCAACCCTGGGAGCCTGCTTCCTCCTGGGCCAGCAGCAGGGACTACAGGGTAGGGGCCTCAGATGCTAAGGTCAGCAGACCCAGAGGCCAGGCTAGCCCAGCACAGACATACTGGGCCCTCACTGAGGACAGCGTGGCGCCAGCGTCTCAGAGGAAATGTTACTGGAGTTTACAAACCTCCGGTAATGTTCAGAATCCGGGCTCTCCCTCGGGCCAAGGTGGGGGACAACCTGGGTGGCGGCCTCCCATCCAGCATCCAGTGAGTGGTCCTTCCAAGCAGGAGCCCTGGTTCCCACTCCCACCAACCTGCCCTCTGCCCCTGAACTTACCCAGGAGCCACAGAACAGTGGCACAGGGGCCCAGCATGAGTAGACTAATGGGGTGAATGTTGGGAGAGCACAGTAATAGCCAAAGTCACAGCCTTCACCCACCATAGGGCAGTGGGGAAAAATCCCCCTTCCTAGAATTCAGGATGAAGCCAGGCTCTGATTTGTGGGTGACCCACGATTCAGGTCCAGGCTGATTCCCTGTCCCAAGGGCTGCCTTTTAGGGTCTGCAAGCACACTGGGCCCTGCGCTTGATGCCTGCTTTCATATTCTTCTGTCTCCATCTTGAAATTCTTAATACTTTTTGAACAAAGGGTCCCACGCTTCCATTTTGCACTGGGCCCCACAAATTATGAAGCTAGTCCTGTGAGCCCAGCCCCTCAATCCCCTGCCCTCCCCCACTCCTGCTCTTGCGACAGTTTCTAAACTGATCACCAGCTGTGAGCTCTGGGCCTGGTGAGGGCCTGACCCTCTGGGTTAAGACATTGGGGTTTCCTAAGAGCTTTCTGAAGACAGCATCAAAGCAACACGGCCACAGGGGCTCTGGTGCTGGCGGGGGGCATGTTTGTTCAGAGGCGTCTTGAAGTCCCACCCCGCAGCAGCTGCTAGGACAAGAGAGGGCAGTGGGAAAAAACAAGAACTTCGGGGCCAGGCAGACTTGGTTCAAGCCTGGCTCTGGGGCTCACTGTCTAGGCGACCTCGGGGATGTTAACTAAACCCCTCTGTTCTTCGGCTTATTGGTCACGTGAGGGTTATAATTATATCCACTTCGAGAGTAACTAGGAAAATTAAATGAGATGACACCCGTAAAGTGCTGGGAACAGTGTCAGGCTTGTAATAAGTACTTGATAAGTGATAGCTGCTGAGGTCAGACACCAAGGCTCTATTCCAGCCCCACCACCCGCTCCAGTGTGGACTTAACCTCTCGTGCGTAAAAGGAGGGTTACAGGGGCGCCCATGGCACGGGGCTTTGGGAGCTACCGTCAGCATCAGCATCACCCTCTCCTCCAGGAAACCTTCCCTCCAGCCCTCCTGAGGGTTCCACGGTCGCCTGCGCTCACTTCCACACCAGCACATGCGACACTTGAGGAGGAGGTGTTTCTGTGTCTGCCTCCCTCTCCCAGACCGGGAGCAATTTGGGGGCAGGAACGGCATCTGGTTCTGCTGGTATCAGCAGAGAGGAAAGGACAACAGAGTGAACCCAGGAGGGAACTTCCGTCGGCAGCAGGGAGTTGCTCACGCGCCAGAGTAGTGACAGCCACGCCTTGGTGGGGTCTCCTCTCTCTCCCCAGATCGGTGCCTCTCAGAAGATGCAGGTGCTCATGCTGCTGCTCGCCTCGGCAGGCACCTGCCTGGGCCTGCTGGTGGCAACTGCGGCGGACACCAGCCCTGCCCGACCGGACTCCCCCAGCCTGCTGCCCACCCACCGGCGCCAGAAGAGAGACTGGATTTGGAACCAGATGCACATTGACGAAGAGAAAAACACCTCGCTGCCCCATTATGTGGGCAAGGTAAGGCTCGGGCCCTGGAGCAGGCGTGGCGGCCGCAGCGGGCGGCCCACAGTGATGGTGGTGGTGGGACCACTGGTGACACATTCCGTCCTGGCTATCAGGGTGGGGCTGACGCCTGTGAAGGTAATGGTGGTAGAGCGGATAGAGCTGGTAGAAGTGGTCATGACGCTGAAGGGAAAGGCGGTGATGGGGACAGCAGGCAGAAGCTGACGCCATGGCAGCTGGGGGTGGGGCCGGCCGGGGAATGTCCACTCGCAGCCTGCCCACAACCAGCTAGCTGACTGTGCCCACGGGCTCCTCTGGCTCCCTAGAATGGTTGGGAAATTTCAATGCCTCAGGATGGCCACTCAGAGAAAGATGCTTGACCAGGGTCACATGGTGAGACCCGGATAGAGCCTGAGGAGAACCTAGCCCTAGGAAAGCACAGGGTTCCCGACTTCCAATACAAATGTGAACTCTGCATCATAGAGGAAAATGTCATCAACCCACCTACATATTTCCCAATGGGATAACTGTGCCATGAATCAGCCACTGATGAGAATGGCCAGCCCCGAGGAAAATCTGCGGGGTGAGTAAGGAAGAGCCAGCAGAAAGCGGAAGCCACCTGCATCATGCGCAGCCCTGACACGGAAACCTTCAGAGGGCTCTCCTCTCCCAAGGGTCTTCAAGCAGCAGGAAGAGCGTCAGGCCTGCCATCATCTGCTAAGAGCGTTCACTTGGCACCTGGCATGGGGCCACGCACGGGACAGAGAAGCCACATGCAGTCCCACCCTGGGAAGGAACAGCGTGCCTGGGAGAGGCATGGACGAGGCTCCAAGGATCACCTCCTGGCTCCCAAAGACATAATCTGAGGGAAGGAAATCCCTGTTTATCAAGGCCACTGTCCGGAGCCTTTGTTTACAGACTGGTTGGACAATGGGAGTGAGCTCTGAGCAGCCTTCTGAATCCACAAATATGGGTCAGCATGGCTTTCAGCATTAAGATGTTATATCCAAATATAGTGATAATTTAAAAAAACGGGGGCTCCCAGAAACCCATAATCTCAGTCTGATTATGAGAAAAATATCAGATAAATTCCAGTAGAGAAGCATCCTACAAAATACCTGATCAGTACTCATCAAAAACACTGAAAGTCTGAGAAACTGTCATAGTCACGAGGAGCCCAAAGTGATGACTAAATGTAATGGGGGTGTCCTGGATGGGCTCCTAGAGCAGAGAGAGGACATGAAGCAAAAACTGAGGGCATCTGTATGAACAATGGACCCCAGTTACTATAAATGTATCAGTATTGGCCCACTAATCATAACAAAGGTACCATACTAACATAAAATGTTGATAATCATGGAAATTGGGAGCAGGATGCATGACAACTCTGTACTATCTTCTCGATTTTTCTATAAATCTAAAACTATTCTAAAAAATTAAATGTTGGAGGGAAGGAGCTTTTTAGTGTATGTGCCGCCGAAGTGAGCACAAGGGACGGAGCTTATATTCAAATGGAATCTTATGCAGAATTCCAATAAAATAGGTCAAAGCTCAGTCAGTCCCCATCACTACCCCTGCCCATGTGGGTCCTAACACACACCGCCCCGCAGAACCAAGTTTGGAACTACCAACGAACCCTAAGCAACTCACACAGAGTCCCAGACTGTCCCTTCTCCTTGAATCCCCACTGTTCCCCCCCAAGCCACAGGTTGCAGAGCTGGGCATTTGCTTCTTGCCTCCTGACCCACTGTTCATCATATGTCCTGGCCCCTGGGTCTTGGGACCCCCTCATGAACCCGCCTGGCCCCAGCACACCGAGGCCCTGCCCCACCCAAAGCAGAGGGTCCTCACTTCTGGTCCCCACTTCCTCACCTTGCAGAGTCTTCTCCAAGCTCTGTCATCTGCCTTCCCACCCCACCACCCCTCACCCCAGTGCTGCTCTCACCAAGGGCTCCAGGGTCTGCACTGCTCCTCAACCCTAGGGATGTCTTCCAGACTCACGGGATTTGACCACACCCTTCTTGACGCTCCCCCTCCTGTCTTGAGACCCACTCTTTCTCGGTTCTCCTCATCAGACACCTTCACTCAGGCTCTTGCTCCCTGGACCCTTACATATTGCCCTTCCTCAGAGTCTCAGCCCTGAGAGCAGGAATAGGGTCTGGCTTACCTCTGTGCTTCCAGTGTGCTGCTTGGCACCTTATAGGCATCCGATTTATATACTTTGAATTGAACTATATTTTTTGAACATTCTAACCATCTATTGGAGTACCACTTTACATGCATGAAATAGGATTCTCTTATATTCCTAAGTGTCTCTGTTTCTAAGATTCTATAAATGAAACGTTTAGCACTTCTAACCTAATATCTTTTAACATATGGATCTACCATGAATAATAACAGGTATTTATTGAAAACCTGTGTAAGTTGCTTTAGGTACATTAGCTTTCAAATCTTTTTCTAAATCTTGTTCCTGGGGCACCTGGGTGGCTCAGTCAGTTAAGCATCTGCCTTTAGCTCAGGTCATGGTCTCAGGGTCCTGGGATCAAGCCCCGCGGTGGGCTCCCTGCTCAGCCGGCAGTCTGCTTCTCCCTCTGACCCTCCCCTATCTCGTGCTCTCTGTCTCTCTCACTCTCTCTCAAATAAATAAATAAAATATTCTTTAAATTTATTTTAGAAAATGAATAAATCTTGATCCTTAGGGCACTAACAGTATATGTTACAAACAAAAAGTATTCTTATTGCAATGGGAAATCCTGAGTTAAAGCTCATTAGAGTTTTTTTCTATAGGGCTATGCATTGTAAATCTCCAAGAAGAGAACATTTTATGTACCATTCCAAAACTAAATTGACCGGAACCAGTAGTGTGCTGATAAATGTTTGACAACTGGTTCTCCAGGAGAAGAAGTCCTGATTCATAGCATTTGCTCATTTCCATGTGGAAATACTTTCACCATGTCTGTTTCAAGCTCCCTACTTGATGGCACTGAAGGCAGAGTTGTGAAAAGATACATATTAACACCGCACTGTGTGGTATTTCCATCATTCAACATATACATAACCTCAAGACATAGTAAAATGTAGTACAATCATGAGGAAGCAATGAATTTTGAGTAGGCTACCTGTGTTTTTAATAGGATTCATTTAACTGATACGTTGATATAATTGGATTTGTAAAAATGGCTGTGCTTAACAAGCAGCTCACAAACATTCCTAAAAATGTAAGTTGGCTGGCCGGTGCAAGCCATCTCCTAGCTCAATGGGCCCAAATTTTCGTGTGGAACAACAAAAGACACCAGTGTTTCCTGGAACTGACTTTCAAAAGTGCCATCATTCTGCCCGTTAGAGCAGCCCATCAGAAGCGATATTATCTCCACTTTACAGATGAGGTTACCACAACTCAGAGAGCTTAAGAGCTGAAGTGACTAGTAAGGGGCAAAATACCCCTCGCCTTCCACTGGCACCAAGTACACTCTTTCACCCAAAAATCTTTTTGCAAGCACCTGCGACATTCCAAGCGCTGCTCTAGGCCTACGAGGGCAGCGTGCTGGGCAAGTCCCACAAATGTGGTGTTCGCAGGGACCTGGCTGAGAGCAACGCGTGCTAATGACCAGTCAGAGACGCTTGTGAAAGAAGCAGGTGCCACACTTAGGATCCCTGGCCAGCACCACACACGTGTCCACACACGTGCACAAACATGCAGGTGTGCACACACACACCACGTACCTACATACACTTGTACACTCACATGTGTGCGTGCACAACGACACACGCACACAGCCACCTCTGCCCATCCTCAGCTCACGGCGCCTCTTCTTTCCTAGATCAAATCGAGCGTGAACCACAAGAACACCAAGTATGTGCTCAGAGGAGACTCTGTGGGCAAGGTCTTCCGGGTCAGGGAGGACACAGGCGACGTGTATGCCTTTGAGAGGCTGGACAGGGAGAAGATCCCAGAGTACCACCTTACTGCCCTTGTGGTAGACAAGAATACCAACAAGAACCTAGAGTCTCCGTCCAGCTTCACCATCAAAGTTCACGACGTGAACGACAACTGGCCTGTGTTCACGCACCGGCTGTTCAACGCCTCCGTGCCAGAGATGTCGGCCGTGGGTATGTGCACTTTGCCCCCGTGCAGGCTCCTCAGACCACGACACAGCCTTTTCTCCCCCCCAGGACCTGGGGGAGCTGGGTTAAGGGAACAGCCTGGGCCCCACCTGTCCTCAGCTGGAATGGGGCAAGGGGCCAGCAGTCCCAAGACAGTAACCCCCGGATTCTCTTTCCTCAGGGACCTCCGTCATCCGTGTGACAGCAGTTGATGCAGATGACCCTACTGTGGCAGACCACGCCTCTGTCATGTACCAAATCCTGAAGGGAGAAGAATATTTTGCTATTGATGGTTCCGGTCTGTGTTACTAACGCTCCGGGGCAGGCCCTGGCTTGGAGCAGGGTAGGGGTGGATATTCCATGTGCAGCAGCTGAGCAAAGTCTAGTCTGACAGGTGTCACCTATCACCCAACCACACTATCCTATGGAAACAGTTGCTTCTACCCATTAGGACAAGGTGGCTAATGAGGGGAGAAGGAAGCAGACAGCTGCCAAAACACGGACTCCAGCCCCGGAAATAAACCAGGACCCAAGCTGTGACACAAGAAGCAGAAGAGAATGCTGGTTAGCAGCTCTGGGTGTAGAGTAGGACCGATCCAGTTTCCAAACCCACTCCTGCTACTCACTCCCTCCAAAGACCTTAGGCAAGTCAACTAACCTCTGCGAGCCTTAGTTACCTCATCCTGAAGATGGGAAAACGTGTATCCATTTTGCATGGCAGCTGTGAAGCTTAAATGAAATAAAATATAGAGAATACATGGCCCATAGTAAGTATCCACTCAGTGTAACTTTAAAAACCGTAAGGACCGAGTTTGGGGAGCAAGAGAGAAATCCAGGTGGTCAGGCCTGGGGCACACTGTCTTTCAGAAGGATGGCGAGTACAACAAAGCAAAGAGACCACCCCAACCGATGACGTGCCTAGGCAGGCCATCACTAATCCATCATAGCTTTCCACGCTAAGCCTAGCCGTGGCCTCACACTCTTTCTCAACACCACGCTCCACACAGCTAGGACCAATATTGGACCAAACTGTTTGGGCAGCTTTGGTTCAGCAGAGCAGGGTATGAAGCAGGGGCAGGGGGTGGGGGTGGTTGGCCATCAGTTCTCAGCCCTGGCTGCACAGTGGAATCACCTGGGGAGCTTTTAAGTCAGGGAGTGCTCTCCGGATAGGGCCCAGGCACCAGTATTTTCTAAAAGCCCTCCAAGTAACATGTCTGCTGCTGGCACACTTTTTGCAGGACTCATTTTCACGACAACCAAAACCTTGGACCGAGAGGTGCAGGCCAAGTATGAAATCGTGGTGGAAGCGCGAGATGCCCAGGGCCTCCGTGGGGAGTCAGGCACAGCTACGGTGCTGATCACTCTGCAGGACATCAATGACAATTTCCCCATCTTTACCCAGCGTGAGCTTTTCCCCCAGGGTCCTGGGGAGGACGGGGGTTGGGAGAATACAGATTCAGTGACCTGGGGGATCTTGTGGAGAAGCCCAGTGTCCCTCTGTTCCTTGACCCCAGGGTGGGTCCAAAGGCCCTCTTGCAGGCAGAGGCTCTGCTCCCCATCCCTGCACACATTCCCAAGGCTGTCCAAATGCCACCCGCCACAGTGCCCTCACAGGCCACAGGGAAATCATGCTCCCTGCTGTGTGCCACCACCGTGCCCTGAATCCCACTACCAGAGAGGAATAGTTTCACCCAGTTTCTACAGGCTCAGAAAAATCCAGGCCCTAGCTAGAAAATCCCTGTGAGCTGGTGAACAGGGGTATGGCAAAATTCCATATCCAGAGCTGAGGCTGGGCCCTGAGCCCACCCACACACTTGAGTCTCTCCCCACAAAAAGTGTCTGACAAGAGCTTTTCCCATGCCTTGGTTAGGGCTGGGGAGGAAAGTCAGACGGTTCATCATTTATACCCTCCAGTGCTGAGGTGTAATTCAGAGGCTCAGCCACCCCCAAGGACAGCCTGAAGTGGCCTCACTGTAGTACATGACAGAAGCTCGCTAAAGGTAGAACTTGTCTCTCTTGTCAAATGATAGGTCCCCTAGCAGAGGACCTAGCATATAGTAGGTGCTCAATTACTATTTGTTAAATGGATGGACGGATAGAAGGACAGATAGAGCAGAACCTCTTTGCCTTGGGACCCCAAATTCCAGAGGTTGTAGTACTATTATTATTATTTTATTGTGCCCATTTCCTGTATAAAAATGTATTAGGATAATATAAGGGTCTATCTCATTAACCCAATGCCCTTGGGGGCACCCTATTTGCATCAGCCAAGTACACATTCGCCGTGCCTGAAGACATCCGTGTGGGCAGCTCCCTGGGCTCTCTGTTCGTTGAGGACCCAGACGAGCCCCAGAACCGGATGACCAAGTACAGCATCGTGCAGGGTGAATACAGGGACACCTTCACCATCGAGACGGACCCCAACCACAACGAGGGCATCATCAAGCCCATGAAGGTTTGTAGGCATGCAGCGATGACATCAGATGTGGGGTTTGGGGCTCCCCGCATTCCCAGGACTCATCCAGGGGCTACCACAAGGTCAGAGGCCATCAAAGGTGTCCATTCTGGGTCAGCTCAGAGCTAGCCTTGCGCTCTTAGAGCTTGTGACCCCAGAGCTGGGAAAGGGGAGCCAGGAGAGAAGGGTCAGTGCCTTAGGCTGGGTTACCCCAGAGGCAGACCTTAAGGCAAGGATTTGGGTGTAAATCATTTACTTGGGAAGTGACGCCCCAGGAGCAGTGCCACATAAAGGGAAGAACACAGGCTCCCTATCAGGTTATCACTGCGGGCAAGGGGGGCACAGTCCCACCGGGGACATCTGAGGAATGGTGTGGAATAGGCCTCAGAGTTGCAGGAGCTGAGCAGGAGGAACTGTGGGGTTGGCTGAGGGCTTCAGGGGGCTTTCACTCTTGCACTTTCTGGCCTGCCCTGGGCACCCGCGTCACGGAGAGCCCCAGTAGTGTTATAGGCACTTGCAGCAGAGAGCCATGGCAGGGAAGGAAGCAATGAGTGCTGTGGGGGTGGGGGTGGCCACTGGCAGTGGCTACTGCAGACAAAGCAGTCAGACCAACTGTATCTGGAAGAGGAGGGAAGGGACACAAAATGCCTCTAGAATGGCCATGCCGAGGACTGGGGCTACCTGGGCCGGGGATGACCCATCTCAAAGGGGACATTCTAGAACCCCCCTGCCTGAGCTGGGCCATTCCCCCAGGAGCACTCTCCTGAGGCTGTCCCTGCTCCAGTCCTGCACTGGGGACTGGAGGCACCCAGGGGACTCATACAACCTCCACAGCACCGAAGCTCCCAGTGAGTGGGGAAGACACGCATAGACCAACAGGGTAGCCACACGTAAGTGCTCCAGCTACCCATGCAGGGAGCAACTGCCTATGTCAGGGGGGCAGGACAGGTTCTGGAAGATGTGATTACCTTCGGATCTGTCTTCTTGAGGGGTGAGTAGGAGTGTGCTAAGTGGGCAAAGGCAGGAGAAGCATCTTGAGCAAAGACATAAGGAAAAGGCACATTGTTAAGGAGCTGTGGATAGAACGACTAGCTGTGATCCCCTAGCGAGCAGGACTGTGGCTTACCCACTGGGTGTCTTCAACACTTAGAACAGGGCCAGTCACAGAGCTAGGGTTGGGAGGCAGCCCCGAGGCTGCTGAGATGCAGTGGGGGGCAGCCGAAGATAGCCAGTGAGCCCCAGCCGCTCTCCCCTTCCCTCCTCTTTTTTTTTTTTTTTTTTTTTTTTAAGATTTTATTTATTTATTTGAGAC